AAAGCCTGCCTCAAAACCAATGGGAAATTCACCGTTATTAAATTCCCTGTGCAAAAAGCAGTGTGCGGGTCCATACTGAGAAGGCTCCTGGGGAAGGGTCATCTCGGATGCTGTGTGGGGAGGGTGACAACAGGGCCACACATTCCCCCACTGCCCTACAGAAAGACAGGAGGGTTTTTCCTCCAGAGGTAGTCTTGCAAGACAGGAAAAGAAACACAAGAAGCATTAAAGTCAGCCACTGCTCTTTCATTTGTTGGCAGCGGTGGCTGAGCAGAAGTCTGCTTGCTCTCTGCTCTTTAAGACTGCCTATGACCCTCTTTAACAATTTATTTTTTTTAAGAAAGTGCCCATGTACTCTCACTTTTTAACAGGAAAATGGAAAACTCATGTGAAATGAAATACCACATCCTATTTGAGAATCCATTTATTTCACTTCCATTTTGTCTCCCAAAAGGAGTTTCAGCACATACTTGGGTAGGGCAGAAAGGGACCTGTTCACTCCAGTCTGCCTCTGTCCACGTTATAAACCCTGGTTTCAAATGTATGGAAATAAAACTTCCCACCATTACAACTCAAGTATGCTCCTCTGAAGTCATCTGAGGACACAGGGGAAACCCATTACGAAAATGAGGTCTCCACCAGGGAGGAAGTCACCAAAAGTTCATCACAAAGATGTAGCTGTTGCTACAGCACGGGACACTAAATTACTGCCCAGGTCCCAGCGGCAGTATGACTTAGAAAACTGGAGGGGAAAAAAACCCCAGTGTCCCCCAAATACTAGTTCCTTCCTACCCCAGCTGACCCCCGCCCACCAGGAAGAGGTGATACCAGCAAAGCTTTCTGAGATGTCGGCTTTCCATGTGCTCTGCAGCCTATCCAAATCCTACAGCAACTCACCTCGTTTGATGTAGAGCTGCAGAAATGCGGCAGAAAGGCTGCCACGGAAATATTTTGTTTCATTTGCAGGTGTCCTACATGATAAGAAAGTTTGCGCGGTAAAGGAATGAAGTAAGAATATACATTACCCATGGCTCAGACAGCTGAGCCTTTGAAAATGAAATCTAATTATTTTACCATTTATTTAGACAGATTATGTTATAGCTTTCTGATCTCACTTTGCGATTAATATGTATATGCTTAGAGCAGAAATGATGAAGGCAAATTCCAACCTGTTTTGGGAAGACACTTCAAATTAGGCAACATGTAAGGGAGAGGATGATAGCTGGTTCCACTTGCACTTTTAATTAAAACACAGTAGTCTAGATAACAGAAAACTGAGATGGGGCAGAGAAGAAAGAGGAGGGAAATAAATCCTAGAAATAGCATAATTGTACTACAGCACTTAAAAACCCCTACTTAAAAGTGGGAGGAACCCAGAAAATAAGCAATTTCTGCCTGTTTTCTTGTATCTATCTTGAACTAGTGCATTTATAGCCTTTTTTAACGTTATCTGAAGTCAGTTTGCAGTCTTAGATCTTTTTTAACCTTTGGTTCTTCCAACCAACAAATGCAAAGTATAGGTCTAACAGAGACATCTCCAGCACCCTCCTTGCAGTGCAGTCTTGGCCGCAGCTGTGGACTTGGCTGCTTTTGACAATGAGCATTTCTGATCCTGATGCTGGCTGGGAAAGCGCAATGAAGAGCCCACAAAGGGCCACTTCCAGCAGGGGTGGATATTTAGGTGGAAATCCCTGTTCACCATCTCTCCGAGCAGACTGCATTAACTCCTGTGACTGAGCATCCAGAAACCTCCAGCTTTTAAATGACATGGCAGAACCACATAGCAACCTTGAGGCTGTTTTTCTTTGACAAAGTAACAGGGACAATGCCAGCATATGGCAAATACCTCTCCAAAAGCCAACAGCGGCCCTAGACAGGCAAAAAACCATTAGGTGGCCATCCCACCTCTGACAGGAAACACCTCTCTTAAATAAGGCCACCGCTACCATCTGTAGGCTCCCAGACCGGAGTGGCAGTGGGGGTACAGATGGTAACACTTTTGGTTCACAGTTTTGGAGGAGGATGAATGAACAGGTTGGGTCACCTACTTAATCTGGCTTTGGCTTGTAACATCTTACTGCATGAAAGACTTTCTGGGGCAGGATAAATACAACATGCAGGCAGTAATACTGTGTGGCCTCAAAAGAAAGCTTCTACCTGGTATTTGCTTAAGATCCTTTCCCCAGATTGACACTACATTAGATGAACCACTGTTAACCTCAGCTTTGCAATTACCTCCACTACATTTTACCGTTTTTATATATCTCACGCAATATTAAAAACTCCTGGTGTCACAAATGCAAAGTACTGGGTGTGAGAGAGACTGAAACATACAGCAGAAGGCGGTGAAGATGCTCAGCATTAAATATGGAATAAGAAAGAGGGGCTTCTGAAACAAAGGACACCAAGGGAGTAATGGATTAACCAAACCTGCCTCAGAAGCATCTCCAGGCAATTTTGACTGTCAGGTCATTAACTGGATGAACACATAACTGATAAGCTGTAGGTTGTGCTCTACTTGAGAGCAATAAGCTCCTTTAAATGAAATTAATATTTAACACATATAAAAGCATTTGTCATTTGCAAAGCACTATACAGAGTAACTGATGGATGCCATAATGACTCCCAACTCCCAGACTAGGGAATGCAATTCTGGAGGGATAAATATCTGGCCCATGTCCAAATCAAGATTCACTGACAGAGCTATTATTCTAGCTCAAAATTAGGTTCCTAAGTTTCTGGCCCTTCTAGATTACACTGCTTTGTAGCCTTCAATGGGTAGAAGCACAACACACAGACAGAGCTTGAGGACAGGAAAAGACAACACAGGATGACACTTCTGGCTCATATCTGCCAATTGTCACATCCCTACCCTGAGCTACCGTCCACACCAAGAGGTGCAGTTAAGTGGGTAAAACACAAAGAACAGCAGTATTAAATATTTGATTGGTGTCTATCAACCAGCCCTCTCCCTTTGTTTTAAGAAATTCATCTTGGGGAATTTACTGACCTCCATAATTTGTTAGGTCTTTCAATATACTTTTAAATATATATATATATATATGTATCAAGATTTTTTTTTAAAGGGCTACAGTAAGTTCTGTTGTAGAGGATCCTTAACATATGAGAGCATTTTTCTGAAATGTGACAGATTTTTTCTCATGCTACAGCACTAACTTTCCATGAATCAGCCACTGAACTTTGTTATTACCCCAAATTACTGAAGGAGAACTTCACTTTCAGCCTCCTACATGGTTTCCTGAGATGTCTCCAGAGACAGACCCTCATTCTTCCTGCCCAACTAACTCCCTTCGTATATGCTTTTTCTCCCCGGGGAGAAAGCATACTGAAATTCACATAGTTTCTCTTGGCTGGACACAGCAACCTTTTGCTGTAGTTGAACTTTATGCATATGGAAAGCAGAGACTCCCCTGGGGATCTACCATGTGTTGCCACAGGCCAGAGTGGGCTGCACCAGAGAGGCACCTGCAGTTGCATCCTCAACACACACAGTATGATGACAATACCACCTAGGAAGGATGTAAAGTCCATTTAAGGTACGTAAATGCATGCGTCACTCCAGATGCACTTGTTCCCTGAAATATCTGTGCTTTCTAAACTGCTCCCTGAAATATTTGTGCTTCCTAACTCACTTGTGTTTCAACTGACCCAATGGTCTCATCATCATAGCTTTGTCATTTGAGGATTCATCCTTTTAGGAGCATTATTCTCATCAATATTACATTCTGCCTGGGAAGTCTAACCATGTTAGAAGCAGACAAAGTGATTATTGATGACAGTCAATACAACTTCAATGTATTTCAGCAGTGTAAGTAGAAAAAAATGCATACAAAATTTATACCGGACATTATTCAATAGCTATTCAGAACTTGCAATGCAGAGAAATCTGACAAGGAATAAAACATGATGGCTTCTATATGCTAGTATTTTGATATTTCAACAGAGTCCAAGTTTAGCAAAAAAGTGAAACTTCCTAAAAGAATGTATTATTCACAGCATTTGTTTGCGTAAGTGGAAGTCTAACATAAGTCTCCCCTTCTGCTCCATCTTATATTCTCATAAAGCTCAGCCTGCTAGACAAGATTTCCATAGAAATCTTATTTGGTAAAATTTGCTTGATTGTATTCCAAAAAGTGACTCACATTTTGTAACCAAGTGGCAAAAGCTGAAATGAGTTTGACTCTTTCCACTAAAGCCAGTATTAATCATTCTTCTAGCTTAATGGTTCGTATGCTATTCTTGACAGACAAAACTGGGACCACAGGTCAAGAAGTGACAGTTTAATAGTCACAAAGTATGTGGCCAGATAGCTATTACCAGTCTGAAGGAAACAACGCAGGACTTGGTCAGTGAAATTAAAAGATACTCAACAGCATGACTCTTAAGTTGCTGTAAGGGTAATAAAATCACAGCTCCTATGTTAGCATAGAAAAATTTGGCCCATCCGTCCCAAAAGTAGGCTCCTGGCAACATCCCAACAGGG